TCTCACCGATATGTAGGTGTTTGATATTTTAGGACTGGCTCGACTTTCAATACCTCTCTCTTCTTTGTCTGCTGTCCCTTTCTGCGTCCGTCGGCGTCGGTAAAATACAAAGAGTTTGAGAAACCTACCACCTTTTTCGTAGCTGTTACACAGCGGTCCCAACTTTGGAACTCTTATAGAACTTTTACTGTACTGAAATATTAAGTGGCTGATGCTTACATGCATAGTCAGACAAGAAATCATAATTTAAGGGGTTAACATGTGAACTATGATTTTTTCATTGTGATATAATGTTTAAATTAAGTTTGTATTCTGTAAAGTTTATGGTGTAGACAGTGCTGAAAGTTTGATATTGATAAAATGTCGAAAATTCTTACACCACCTAACGAAAGATCGAAGAGCCATGTATTATACATTATAGTAGGTACATGTAAATAAAGTAATTAGGTTTTTAAAGGTAATATATACACGTTGGAAAAAATTTAAACACTTTTCACAAAGGATTTTAACAGTGTATATTTTGGAAGTAAAATCTATTATACACTCAGTGTTAATATTCAGTGTTTTCTATACCAATAAGCCTTAGAATATGTGAAGGAAACGTACATTTTTTGATTAAATTTTACTTAAATATGTTTCATTTGAAATTTAGAAAATCGTAGTAATATGCTTCCATACAAATTTATACGTAATTTATACTGCATTCCATACAGTTTATTATACGCACACATGTGCATATACAGGGTGTTCCGTAACTCCTGGAACTGGAAATGGAGTGTTACTGGGGTGACTCTGAAAAACTTTTTCCTTTACCAAAATGTTGGTCGAAGCTTCGTTTTTGAATTATTAGCGAAAAACACTGGCCAATCAGAGTGCGCGTAGAGCCCGCGCCCAGGCACGGGAGCGTAGGGACTCATCCGCGCTCGATCGTGAACAAACGCGTACGCGTGACTTCTCGGTTATCGGTCTCTGTCACAAAAATTTGACTTTGCACCGCTATTTTTATAAGGCTTAGAGAAATGGTTTGTTGCCGTCATTCTGATGTTTGTATAACAATACATACCTAACGGCGATGCGAAAAATGTACGGTCGGCAAAGTGTTAAATTAACATAATGTGGAATTATTCGTTATTCATGAATCGTTCGAGGAGTTACGGGACACCCTGTATAATAAAAATTGCGTACTGTGAATAATAACTTCGGTGGTTTTTGTGCACTATCAACTGTGATCTAATGAAAACAATCTACCAGTATAATATCGTTTATTTACTCGTGGAAAGATCATACTAGTAATTAAAAATGTTCAAAATAACAATCGTGTATATCATAATTTAATATTTGGTTTTAAATACTTCAACAGTGATTCGTAGATATGTAGTTCAAAGTGTTATTCAGATTCGATGGAGACATTTTACAATTCTCCGATGGAGCGTTCCAATTTTTCAAATCTTTTCACTAAGAATAGTTTCTATATAATTGCATCGTTAAACATAATTCACAAAGCTTTTGAATTAAACAATAAATCAATATTTTCAACTTTTTTAGCGATTCGTTATTATTTTCAAGTTAGACGAAAGGAAATATTGTATGAATTTTACCGTGAGAAAAAATATAGAATTTAAATTGAAATATATCGAAAGGTGAAATTGAATTTCTTATACAAGACATTCATAGATAAGACATACATCTACACGAAAGGAGTATAAGATTCATAAAAAATTTCATTCGCAAGGTAGAGCCACTGGGAGAGAGTCTTTTCGTATTGGAGCATTGAAGATGGAGAACAACGAGAACAAAATTGTCACCGCTGTTTACATCTGGCAAGCTGAAAGATATGTTTCCACTTGTAGTAGAATGTGCAGAAGACATGGACAAATGTTTGGAGAAAATAGTAAAAATTGG